GAAAAAAAGCCTCCCTCATTTTTATAAAAGGAATGCTTTGCCCCTCCCAACTTAAAAACCCTTCCCAGAGCGTCTTAATGATCAGGAAAAAGCTTGAGCTGGAAAGGATCTTAGATTTCATGTGGCTCCCGGTGTCCCAAGTGTGGGGTGCTTACTGCCAGTGGGATAAGATGATTTTTATTTGCTGCACATTTGTGTCAGATTTAAGAGCAAAGGACTTCCCGCTTCAATTATCTTTCCAATCTGGCACATCAGGTAGAAAGGCTCAGTTGGGTGCTAGCCTATCTTAAAACATCTCAAATAATTGCTAATTTTTTTCCTTTAAAAATACAAAGAAAGGGAAAGAAAGATTCAGAGTCTTTGACAGGCAGTAGTATGCAGTACTTCAATAGCTTTATTTAAAAATTGCCTTTATTTTTATAGTCACTGGCTCGTTATTGAAACTTATGTAAAATTTTCATTTTCATTTATAGTAGTGACAAAGTTTTTTTCTTACATTCTAAAAAGTGAGGTATCATTAGTGAGTCGATTTAGAGAAATTTTAAGAACATGAAGAAAACTCTTAGATATAGAGATATGGAGGGTGTAAGAAGACGTGGTCCAGAGTTGTGAAGACAACAGGAATTACTTGAGTTTGGGACATTTCAGTTTAGGCGAAATTCCTTAAAATAAATTGACAAGCTTTTGTGCAGGCCTCGTGCTGGAAATTTGGCAGACAAATGGATATTGACAGGAAACAGAGCAGGCCACTTGCAGGCCTCCGAAAGCCTTCACGAAGCCCAGCTTGACAGCAGGTGTAGCTTTCTGTCGTCGGTTTCTGACACGCCCGCCTTCCCACCCCCGACGCCTGTGGCTCCTCAGGCTGCGACCTTGGGGAGCCCTTCACTGTCTCTCCTCCTCACTCGGCTCACCCTTGAGTTGGGGGTGGTAATAAGCAGTGCGTAACACACCCCTTTGTTAGGACTATATGAGTGTAGTAGATACGTAAACCGCCCAGCGCAATGTACGAGATTTTTTTTTTCTTTTAAATGGGAACAGGGACAGGGTAAGAGCTGGGGCCCTGGAATGCTGACCCGGAGTGAGATTTTTGTCCCACACGTCCTGTTTGGAAACCCAAGTGCATGCGACCCAGACCGTGTCGTAGGTCCTAGGGTTCCCGGCTATGCTTAGTTCCTCCGAGGTCGCCCTTAGTGGGGACGCTAGGGGTCATCGCCCAGGCCACTCCAGGCGCCCCGCGCCGCAGCCCCGGCCTCCCCGGCCTCCGCGGCCGCCCCGCCGACGCTCCCAATTCCCGCCTGCCCCCCGCTCCCCCTACTGGGATGCTTCTGCGCATGCGTACTGGGGGCCCGCGGCTGTTTGGCTGTTTCCATGGCTACGAAGCCAGCCAGCCGGCCAGCAACGCGACCGAGGGAAAATGAAGCTCAAGAGCCTCTTGCTCCGGTACTACCCACCAGGTGCGTGCCGGGCCCCTTCGCCCCGACTCGTGGCCGCCACCCCAGACTGGGAGGCTCTGGGCGGGGGAAGGTGCGGGGACCCTGGGGCGGCGGGTCCCCAGGGGGTGAGCCGGGTGGGACGCGAGGTCGCGCACTTCCCAACTGGGGCCCCTCTCTCCGCCCGACGCTGAACTCCGTCCCTCAAAACCTTGACTCTTGAAGGACGTCATTGAGCTTCAGTGTGCAAGTCAAGCAGGTGTCATTTATCGAGGGCCTACTGCACAGCCCTGGGCTCCGTGTCCCGGGTTCCATTTAAGCGGTTCTGAAATGAACCCATAAAATGCCCCAGTTTAGGGTGGGATGTCCTTGCCTCGTCCTCTAGTTTTACAGGTGAGGACGTGAGTACCTTAGGAGAACAGGTGAAGTCCGCTGATCACGCAGCTTGGTAGGGGAACTCAGCATCTAATTCAGAACCCATGTTAAAAATAAGAATAGAAAAAAAGCCTGCAGAACTCGCCACAAAGCAGCAGACGACAAGTGCCCGAAGAAAAGCTCGGATAGGATTGCAGAGGAGGCTAAGGTAGTTTGGGCCGGGTTGGTTTAGGGTTGGTTATGAAGAGTGGGACTTGGGGAATTTAAAGTCTCCACTATCTCACTTTCCCAGCGACGTCCGGCTGGCTGTTCAGTCCCCATCTCCACCGCGGTGTCAGAGTGCTCAAGATTCCTTGTTACCAATCCCATCCTCATCCCGCTGCTTCCTCAGGCTGGGCCCTGTGAGTAGCTGGCCTCACACGTCCAGTGTTTTGGCAGACGCCTTGGTGGCCACCCTTTCTTTCTCTCTTGTGGTTCCTGTCATCTTACCCCATCCCACTGGCAAATTCTGTCAGCTCTTCTTCCAGAATATTCTGCGAATGCATTAGATTATCCTTCTCTCCAGAGCACGGGTTTCTTGTTCAACACCCCTTCCAGCTACCAACCCAGTCCACCTCTCCGTCCTGGCCACCGTCTGCTCTGTCTGGGCTACTTCTCAGCCTGGCCAGCTGGATTCCTGGTTTCCGCTCCTCCTCCCCTACAGTCCGTCCCCCACTAGCAGGCAGTGGGATCTGCACTGGAGCTCTCCATCCGTTTCCCATCGTGATTAGACTAACCCCCCACTCTGCAGGATCTGGCTCAGCCTGTACAGTTGATTCTAACAGCGGTTCTCAACCTGTGGGTCGCGACCCACAGAAACTGTATTAAAGGGCCGTGGCATTAGGAAGGCTGAGAACCACTGTTCTAGAACCTTACTCTTCTACCCACGCTGTGCTTTAGACTTCCTCAGCAGCTCTTCCAAGACTGAAAGGAAGGCTTTTCACTCCCTGCTCTTTTTCTGGGCCCAGCTTTTCCCAGACCTAAAAATAACTGCATCCTATTTATTTATTTATTATTTATTTGAGACAGAGTCTCACTCTGTTGCCCAGGCTAGATAGAGTGCTATGGTGTCAGCCTAGCTTA